TATATATATATATATATATATACACTGTATATATATAATGTAATGTAATATAATATATGTTTATATATATGGCTGTGACAGAATTAGTTTAGGCAAAAAACATTGCTTATTGCTTTATGTGATTCAAGCCACATTACATAATCACACTCTTTTTTTCCAGCTGTTAAAATGAAAAGGTCAGTGCTCCAGTTTTCTTTGTCTTGTTGTGTTGTTCTCCACTCCATTGCTCTCATCACGAGTGCTAGAAAAAAAATTAGCACCATCACTGCCAATGTCTGAAAAACCTTCAAGCAAGTGTAACAACTTTTACGAAATATATTCAGTGAATCTTTAAAATCATATGAACACACTTACAGTTTGCTGGTTTGTTCAGAGCAGACATCATTCTCTGCAAATGGATAAATCCTTTGTTAATTTTCAACGATGACAGATCTAAATATGCATGATTATTCCTCTTATTTATTAAAGTTTACTGTACCTCCTGCAAAAGAGTTGTCATGTTGCGGCTTGTTGCATTTTTCCCAAAGCAAAATCAGTGTGACCAGGACAATGACTTCAACCACTATGGCAATGAAGGGTTTGAGAGGCTCAGTATATGACAAGACCTTCAGCTCGACGTAAGACTCACTGGATTTGATATCAAACTCAGCGCTGCATATGTACTTTCCAGAATCTTCTTCAGTCAGATTCAGTACAGTCAGTTTTGTTTCATTTCCATTAATAAAGATCTTGTAGTTCAGAGGGTTTGCAGTAACATTGATGAGACCCTGTGAAGAGAAAAAAACAACTATTAAAAATCATGTTGAGTAAATGAAATTATAAATTATATTAGCTGAAAAAAAACTAACAAAACATTACTAATTACTAACAGTTACTAGAACTACAAAATAAAAGCTATATTACTATCAATAAATACTTTAAAATAACATTGGATATGAATAACCCCTTTATTTTGAGGTAATGTCTCATTTAAGTATAATCAATCCCATATTCCTCATTTCTCATTCACCTTTTCAGTGTTGTTTGCCTTGTACCAGTTCCAGGTGTTTGGTGTGTGCTTGAGTTTACATTCAAGTACAACTGAATCTCCGGTGTAGCTCACTACCGGCTTGTCTCTTTTATCTTTTATAACAGGAACTTGAGAAAAAAAGCAAAATACATCAGGTTAACGTTAATCAAAATGACGAATATGATTGTATAAACCATTTAAAACAACACAATGTGTACATAAAATGACAACATACCAACTAAAACAAATGTTACTTGTGCCTCATTTTCTCTGAACATGCAGGAATAGTTCCCCAGGTCTCTGGCCTGTATACTGAAACTATGAAAAAGCCAAGGTTAAACTATGAAAAAGGTTAAAC